TGCTGCTGTTGGTTATTGCTGTATTTGTAGATTATGGCTGCTGCTGCTGTTGGTTATTGCTGCATTTATAGATAATTGCTGCTGTTGGTTATTGCTATATTTGTAGTTTATTGCTGCTGCTGCTGTTGGTTATTGCTATATTTGTAGTTTATTGCTGCTGCTGTTGGTTATTGCTCTATTTGTAGATTATTGCTGCTGCTGCTGTTGGTTATTGCTGCATTTATAGATTATTGCTGCTGTTGGTTATTGCTGTATTTGTAGTTTATTGCTGCTGCTGCTGCTGTTGGTTATTGCTGTATTTGTAGTTTATTGCTGCTGCTGCTGCTGTTGGTTATTGCTGTATTTGTAGTTTATTGCTGCTGCTGCTGCTGTTGGTTATTGCTGTATTTGTAGTTTATTGCTGCTGCTGCTGCTGTTGGTTATTGCTGTATTTGTAGTTTATTGCTGCTGCTGCTGCTGTTGGTTATTGCTGTATTTGTAGTTTATTGCTGCTGCTGCTGCTGTTGGTTATTGCTGTATTTGTAGTTTATTGCTGCTGCTGCTGCTGTTGGTTATTGCTGTATTTGTAGTTTATTGCTGCTGCTGCTGCTGTTGGTTATTGCTGTATTTGTAGTTTATTGCTGCTGCTGCTGCTGTTGGTTATTGCTGTATTTGTAGTTTATTGCTGCTGCTGCTGCTGTTGGTTATTGCTGTATTTGTAGATTATTGCTTATGTTGGTTATTGCTCTATTTGTAGTTTATTGCTGCTGCTGCTGCTGTTGGTTATTGCACTGTTTGTATTATGGCTGCTGCTGCTGTTGGTTATTGCTGCATTTATAGATAATTGCTGCTGTTGGTTATTGCTATATTTGTAGTTTATTGCTGCTGCTGCTGTTGGTTATTGCTGTATTTGTAGATTATTCCTGCTGTTGGTTATTGCTCTATTTGTAGTTTATTGCTGCTGCTGCTGTTGGTTATTGCTGTATTTGTAGATTATTCCTGCTGTTGGTTATTGCTCTATTTGTAGTTTATTGCTGCTGCTGCTGTTGGTTATTGCTGTATTTGTAGATTATTCCTGCTGTTGGTTATTGCTCTATTTGTAGTTTATTGCTGCTGCTGCTGTTGGTTATTGCTGTATTTGTAGATTATTGCTGCTGCTGGTTATTGCTGTATTTGTAGATTATTGCTGCTGTTGGTTATTGCTGTATTTGTAGATTATTGCTGCTGTTGGTTATTGCTGTACTTGTAGATTATTGCTGCTGTTGGTTTTTGCTGTATTTGAAGATTATTGCTGCTGCGGTTGGTTATTGCTGTATTTGTAGATTGCTGCTGCTGTTGGTTATTGCTGTATTTGTAGATTATTGCTGCTGCTTCTGCTGTTGGTTGTTGCTGTATTTGTAGATTGCTGCTGCTGTTGGTCATTGCTGTATTTGTAGATTATTGCTGCTGCAAGCAAGTACAGGAACTTGCTACTGCCAATACACAAGCCGATACGGTGCTGTGAGTATTTAAGACATACTGCTGCTGCACAAATAGCATATAAAATAACCCGTAGCAGATCAATACAGGTGGAGTTGGGGAAGGTGGAGGGTTTCAGAGGAACTCTGAAAGCATGCTGCAATGCTCAAGCGAATGCTAATCAGCCATTTAAATGTAAAGCAGCAAGCTCATTGGCTGCGTATGCAACGGGAACCATATACATATATACGCATCAAATTAAATATCTACCTTGGCTAATATTCATCATTATTCTGACTAACTGTATTAAAATCCTCTCCACCGTGTGTGTGCATGTGTGTGTGTGTGTGTGTGTGTGTGTGTGTGTGTGTGAGATTCACCTCTGCTGTAAATAAGCGCTTTTGTTGAACCTCCAGCTGCTGGACTCCTGCAGGTTCTCGTTGAGCGCGTTATTCAGCGATGTGAACGCAGGATCCAGGAACTTCATGGCCAGTTGGGACCTGATGAGAAGATCCACAGACAGAGGAAATGAGAAACGCTGTTTCTGTTCCACATCACGGGACGGCCCGATTGCGTCTCTGATCAATGAGACCCATCCAGACCACTGTCTGTCAGCCTGTGCCCAGGGCAGTCGATGGCTGCTCTAATTAAACAGCTGCTTTTAGACTCCACGCCTGCTCGTTTGCTCACTCTCGTTTGTTAAAGCTTGGCCCATTTCATTAACAGAGTTATTCGAGTCTGGGTTACGGCCTCAGAGGTCAGGACGACTCAAGTCACTCACAATATAATTTGTCACATATCAAGCTGGATTGTTGACCTGGATTTTGGTACAGTGAAATAAATGGGTGTGCAAACAATTTTCCTTTAGAAATTCCCAGTAAAATTGCATGAATGTGAATGCATGAAATTGTTCGAATTCTGTTTGGCATTACAAAATTGTACACAAAAATGATCCATTTTTAGCTTCAGCATTCAATATTGACATATAAATGATATGCACTGATTTGAAATCAGTTAATTTGTCCTACTGTATGGAAATAAAGCAGATTTAAAAAGATATATTAATAAAAACTATAATAGCATATTAATGATATAAATAAATAGCACTGGTTCAGCATAGTTTTCTTTTTTTATATAACAATAAAAAAATAAAAAACATTTTGGATAAAAGAATTTTAAAAGCATTTTATTTATATTATATAAGAGCAATATCACACGAGTAGCAGTGCGACATGGCTGTATATCAGCATGGCTGTGATTCGGCCGTAGGTAAACATATCTGTGCTGATATACAGTCATATCTCACGGCTACGAGTGTGATATTGCATTTATACAACTGTTCGATGGCACGAGTGTGTAAATACATAAGAAAAACAACAACGAAGTGTCTTTAAAAACCTCTTGTGTGCAGAACTTCTCCCTTCCGCCACAGATTCAGATCTCTGTTTGCCAGTTTAACAGCTGAGCTCAAGAGCCGTTACTAATTAAAAAACGTCGCTTTAGAACTTTAGTAACGAAGAAAGGTTGAGTCGCTTCATTAAAAGCTTATTGTATCACTGTGTTAAAGCTCACTGTATTATAAGAGAGAGATGGACTGAGAGTGTGACTCCCTGCATCTGACACAGCATTCATTCACAGCACTCAATCTCATATTCACAATAAAACATTAGCTTGAATGTCCGCTGAGGAGAGCGATATCTCTGTCGTACTATCTTTCATCTGTTAAGGATGATTTCTAATGACAGCGCTGCTCACTGCATTTGTTAACTGCGTCTTACAAGCTGTTGTTGAAAGTTAAAAGAACTTCTTTGTTTACAACCCTGTTTCAGTCTCTTTCAATAGAAAAGTATTTACTGCGGACTCACTCAGAAAAACTAATGGAGGAATAATGTCACTAAAATCACCATCACAAACACACACACTGTTTCCCAATGAGTAACATATGGTCATATCGTCCACAAGATGTGGCGGATCAAAATGACTCCTGCTATGTAACCTTGACTGCAGCAAAAGCGTCTGATTACTGACTGGAAATGAATCTGCCAGAAGAGTAAATCAGGACCAAGGACAGCGGCACGGACTCACACACCCACAACAACAGAACACACAGCGCTTTACTTACACTTTATACAGTCTTCATGCTGTTGTATATTTATCTGCAATAACTGTGCAGCTGTTTACATTTCAATCACATTTTGTCATCCAAATGAACGGCAAAATGTCTTGTGAAGCCAAAAGCTGCGTGTTTGTAAGAAACAAATCCAACATTTTAACTTCAAACCGTCGGTTCCGGCTAAAATACGAGTCCATAATCCATAATAACGCTTCCTCCAGTGAAAAAGTGTTCTGGTGTGAATCAGGAGAGAAATCTGCACAGATCAAGCAGCGTTTAAACAGCTCTAAACACATATGTGGCTGGATTTTGATGTGAGAGACAACAGCAGATGCACTTTTTCACTGGAGGAAGAGTTATTATGGATTATGGACTCTATGGTATTTTAGTTATAAACGTCTTGATGGATTAGTTTCAGCTTTTGTCTTCTCCAGATGTTTACTGATGGACTGGAGTGCTGTGGATTATTGTGATGTTTTTATCAGCTGTTTGGACTCTCATTCTGACGGCACCCATTCACTGCAGAGCATCCATTGCTGAGACACTGATGCAATCAATGCTACATTCTCCAAATCTGATGAAGAAACAAATTCATCCACATCCTGGATGGCCTGAGAGTGCGCACATTTTCAGCTAATGTTAATTTTTAGGTGAACTATTCCTTTAACGAAATTCTATCAAATGTCAAAATAATGTCAAAATAAAAATTGTAAAAAGCTGCTTTCACAACAATGCCATTGTTTTTTAAATTAAAAAATAATTTGTATTTATTAATATTTTGAATTACTTTATTTATATATATATATACACACACACACACACACACACACACATAATAAGCTTTTCTTAAATTTTAATTTATTTCAGTTTATGTTTTTTTTTCAAGTATTTTATTGTTAGTTAAGTATAATAACGGCCATATGCAAACAAAAAAAAGGTTTTTCTTTGTCTATAAAAAATAATAATAATACATCTTGATATGAACATTTTAATAATCTGAGGAACCTTTTTCCACTGTTAAGAACCTTCTGTGCAATGGAAATGGATAAATGCTAAAACGAATGAACGAATTTAATTCTTAAGTCCGTTTGTTAGAATCGAATGCATGATGTATACAGAATATGAAAGCAGCAGCTGACTGTTCAGAAATCATTACTCTGCGAAATATGAGAATGTAGGTTTGTTCATCTTCGTGATCAAGGGGGAGATCCGCGCATGCGCGCCGAGCATCATGACAGAAGGACAAGAGAGGCCTTTCCAAAATGTGATTAAAGCACGCGCTTATTAATCTACATGTAGGCAATATCTGCACACATGCGCATTAGAAACGCCCCCCTTTTGAATTACAGTCATAAACGTCCCCTTTATGGCCCTGATTTAATGAATGAGCGTGATAAAACACTCACTCACCGAAAGCCCGTGTGGAACATGTACATCCGCGGCCCGCCGGCGTTGGCGTATTTCGGAGCGGTGAAGATGAAGTCTTTCTTGATGGACACGTAACTGATCAATGACAAAATGAGCAAAGCGACGCTGAACATCACCAGACCCAGAACACTGACGACCCGAACCATCTCAGCCCAGAAGCACTGCGATTCACACACGGAGAACGAGCATGATGGATGCGAGTCGCGTCGCGATGCTGATGCTGATGCTGATGCTGATGAAGAGCAGGGATCCGCGGCGTCTCTCATCAGCACCGGCCGCTGCCATGCCGGATCTCCGTCTGATATCGGCGTCTGCCTGGAAACATCACCTCCGCTCACATTCGGGCTCCAGTGCAGGAACAGCAGGCGATACTTAAAGGAGACTCGATCTTGTTCAGAGAGATGCAAGAAATAAACCAGTCAGCGCCGCAGACGGAGGAGCTGGAGGATCCGCGGACACGAAAGGGTTACACGGATTATCCTGATGTCACACACACACACACACACACACACACACACCTGAAAATATCCTCATAACAAAACACACTCTGCCTTTTAGACCTTTGGACTTCAGTGGACTGCATGACCACGTAATATGTTTTGTTCTATCAATATTATGTAGTCATTTTGTTATTCATATATGTTTTATATAATATCAATTTGTATTAAGATGTTATTAAAAGATTATATCCGGCCTACAATAGCATAATTCTGCATATGATGCAATACAATTATATTGTAAAAATAAGTATCCTTTTTAAAAATGATTTTATATTACATTACTTTAATGTAGGCCTACTGCATACGTGAATATTTTGATTATGTGGTCATATTCTTATTCAAGTTTGCTGTAATATGTAATATATATATATATATATATATATTATTTATTCAACTTTACTGTATGTAATATTTATATTTATAAATGCACACACAACTAAAACTGAAATTTCAACCATTAAAAAACATTAATTTACTTTAACTTTATGTACTAAAATAACTAAAACTGACATAAAATTAATATAGACATAATAAATAACTAAAAATAACAAAAACAAATAAAAATTAAAATGAAAGTGGAAAATATAAAAATAAAAATTGATTAAAAATATTTATAAAAACACCATAATAGTATCTCAATGGCACTGACACACACACACCCTTATTTGTATTCAATCGTTATTTTAAAAAATGTTTTACACATACACACATATACAGTCACAATAAATATGTTCTCATATTAATAAAAAAATATACTTTAAATTATATTTGTATTGAGATTTTAACAAAATATTAACATTATATCGCATTGTAACCGTTTTCCTGTCTTCTTAGGGCAGCATTGTCACTACTCACCTGAGCATTAGGGGGCGCTCTGTTCTAGACATGCAGGAGTTCACCTGTTTAAGGAAGTAAAGAAGGAATAATGGCAGGAAGGTAATTCTCTACTTTTGGAGAAGCTTACCTCAAGAAGCACCTTTGGGCCTTTTTACCCTGTGTGAGGAACGTTACGGTTCTAAGCTCATCCATATAATTGTTCTTGGTGTTTTGTAGCACATGGTTATGGTGTTTTGTCTACAGAGGGTTTGTGTTCTGTGCATATATGGTGGAAGTCTGGAACAAAGAGAGCTGACTTACAGTACGTCTACTGCTTAACTATTATCGGTTGACAAGCAACGCTGGGCTTCAAACATTGACGACAAATCTCTTTTCTAGGTGAACTAGAAAAAAAACCAATGTCTGAGCAGTGGTGTTATTACAGTATCTGCAGCGGTAGAGATTACTGTAATCCCAACATCATGCTGAGCTTTATTATTACAGAACACAGAATAAAGCTCATGCACTCAGACTGTGAGGGATTTATGACTCATGCATAGTTTGTGTTTATGGAAATTACAACATCGATATCTCCTTCTCACTTTATCAAAACTTAAAAAGTATTTTAAAATAACGCATGCATTCACACACACACACACACACACACACACTCACACACACACACACACACACACACACACACTCACACACACACACACACTCACACGCACACATACACTCACACACACACACGCACACACTCACACACACACACACACACACACACACACACACACACCCCTTCACAGTCAAATCAGGCCCCTGCTAAAGAAACACAGACTACACTGTGTAAAG